TGGCCAGGATCTTAATTTACTTCTACTTCTACTGGAATCTGAGTTGTATTTTGTTTTTAGCTTCTGAAGATCGCAGGATCTTAATTGGCCAGGATCGCCATGAAAGAGTTTCAACTCTTTCATTTAACATTTTAAATAACCCTTTTAGTATTTCGTTTTCCTTACATACGTCACTACTTACATACGTCATGTTGTTGTTGATGTTGTGGCCCCTGAGGATTTGAAAGCAGGTAACATAAGACATACATGGGTTAGGATTTATGGTATTCAATCTCACTGATATTAGCTTGCCACTTTCGAAAAAAAATATTTATTTAGTATTAGTGCCGCCATCTATGTGTCAGTCACACACATTATTGAACGAAGTGTTATTAACTCAGTGTCCCCTAACTTTAGGGTCCCTAGTCTCAAGTTTCTTCTTCTGGTGAAAGGTGCTAAGTATGTTTTATTCAGATTAATCGAGTCATTTCTCATGACACCAATTTTGAGTTATATCAAGAGCTAGTTCCATACGATCAGCTATGGTAGAGTCAAATTTGCCTCTAACCATGATAACCAGATCATCTGCAAACCCCTAAATTTCGTATCCGAGGTCATTAAGAGTCTGTTAGAATCCGTCAAAGACTAATAGCCATAGGAGCGGTGGTAGAACGTCTCCTTGAGGGCATCCTTTAATTGACTTGACAGTTAATCTATTAGCTCCAGTTTCAAAGATTATCGTCCTCTTTTCAAGCATATTGAGAACCCATGTTATGATCTGTCTATGTATTCCTTTCCTGAGGATTCCTTCCTCAATTGATCTGAATGTTGCGTTATGAAACACTCCTATAATGTCAACCGATGTGCAGAGAGCTATTTCTTTATCGTTAAAAGGCGACTAATAATCATATTGTTCAATATGTAGAGGTGAAGCTTTAATGTAGACTTCCCTGATATATTGATCTGCTTTCGGTATAAAAGCTACCCTAGTCTTTGTCCAATATTTAGGTATCACGTCTACTTTCAAACTTATCCTAAATTGTTTGTTAATATTGGTGCCAATATATCAACGCCTTTTTGAAGAAGACGAGCTGAAAGTGGAAATGGCCCATTAGTTTTATTGACTGTGAAGATTTTATAATCTAGTGAAAGTTTCCTTCGTGTAACCACCAAGAAACGATGGTTTCCGTAGTCTCAATATACATGGCACAGCTTAGAAAATGACTACCCCGACAATAGCTGTCTCGTTTCCTCCAGACTTTCCGTAAAGCTTCCGTCATCCTGTGTTGGTACAGATAGGCCATTTTAGTGGTCTTTGTTGCGAGATTTCTGGAGTCTCGCAGTCGCTGAAAGTGTTGCAATCTTCTCGCAGTGCCTCCTTCATGACTCCCTCTCTGATTTCTTCAATTCCAAGTCCCCACTAGACTTGGCTCTATTAAATAATTGGTGAGATTTTTTGTGCAAAATGTCCAGTTCCCTATTCCACCATGGGATGTTCGTAGAACGTTTTTTTTTGTTAAGTTCGCAGCTATTTTCAAAATCCTCTGTAATAATGTTTTCATCTTTCTTAACTTCAAGATTTAGTTCCTGACAATTAGTTATTTTTTTTCCCAAGGCAACAAATGTTTTGTTTTAAATAGATATTATATAGCGACCAGTTGGTCTTAGCATCCTTATGAATACACTCGCTAGAGTGGGATCTAGTACCTAGGTTCATTACATTTATTTATCATCATTAAATTGTTAGAAATGATATAATCAAAAAATGTCTCACCTCATATATTAGTGTCCCTGCTTCCCCATACTGTATGGTATGCTTAGTCTACATACGTTTTTGTATATATACAGTTTATGCACTACTTTGTGGCCAATAATTCTTGAATGGCCACAAAATCCAGACAGTGTTGTTCCACCAAGACTAAGTCTATATGAGACTGCTATATACTGGCGGAGGTTTCCTGCAAGAGTCTTACGATCGTGGCGGGGTCCGCGACATTATTTTCCTTCCAGACCTTGCCACTTTTCATACCGCGCAGCAATTCTGCGGCCTCCGAATCTTTCTTTTCCCACTTGCTAAGACGACCAGAGAGAGCAGAAGACTTTCGGTCTTGGGCACTGATTCTGCCCACTCTCAGTGACTTCTGGCTGCTTAACAGCAGAAGCGACCACAGATGTTGATGGTTGCTCATCAGCAACCACAACCTTTGCTAAGTCCATAAAAAACTTTATTGTCCAGCTTTTCAACCATTTCTGATGAAATGGATTCCAGAGCAGTCGCCATCTCGACGAAATCGCCCTTATTAAGTCCGTGAAGCATGCGTCAATTCCTGACACGCACGCCCGAATTTTTGCACTCAATTTGTCCCAAAATTCTGTCGTTTTGCCAAGAAGCAGAGGCTGAGCAGAGGCTCGTCCAGACAGTTAATGATAAATCCGGGCTGTAGACTGTAGCCAGCAAAGTGAGGCTTCACCCCAGGAACTCGATAAGAATTACGCACTTTTCCATATCAATCCAATTGCGCACTTATCCATATCAATCCAATTGCGCACTTATCCATAACAATCCAATTGCGCATTTTTTAATATCTAAATATTATTTTCACTTAAACTTTCCTTTGTTTTTACTTTACTTTTATCACTTGCTAGTATATAATTGCAGTAATGACTTTGATTTTTGTTTTGTTTTCATCCTTCATATAATCTTTTGTCATTTCAAGCTCTACTTAAGAGTAAACAATTTTCATACCGTCAGTTTTTTTTTTTACTTTGTATTTACTTTGCGCGGTTCAGTTTTTTTTATTAAACCACTTGCGCATATAAAATGACAACTCTGACTTTGATTTTATGTACACGCTTTGTATGAATTTGTGGTTCTGTTTGGTGGACTGAACCTCTAGTCAAATGTACGCTCAGTTATTTCTCTTATCTTTTGTATTTGCTTTACAAAGGCTTTGAGGGTAACTTTTGAATCGCTTGCTCGTAACTTTTAAGTATAATATGGTATATATATATATATTATATTGGATTCGGTAAGTTAATCTCCGTGTCTTATACGCACTCCTCGAGAGGTTAGAGTGAGAGCAGTCACCCGAATTGGGATTAGTGTTGGTTGCTGCTAGTGTAGCGGTTAGCATTTTTGATTTGACCGGGGCATTAACAGAAGAGCAGGAGGGAGTGTTACCACCTGGCATAGTTGTCGAGGTGCTCAACGATGAAGCAATACTTGTGCTGTCTGTCCGAGGAGGGACTTTGTAATGATGATTGTTTATAGACGCTTACCTTATAAGGCTTGTGCACCCCTTGAAAAGATAGAAGTTTTGTTCTGTGTATTATTTTAAAAGTTATCTATTCTATATGGATTATCATTCAAAGCCGCTGTCTGACACCCATAAGTGTAGTCACGGGCAATCAAACAAAATGGATGTAATCGAAGTTCGAATCCGTGATGAAAAATTAATATCAGCCACATAATATTAATAATCTACTTTTAACTTGCGTCGAAGCAATTATGTGTTGCCTTTCGCAATTCTAAATTATAAATAATTGCTCTTTTAAATTTCATTAATTTAATGCTCAAAAGAAGGCACACAATTTATTTAAAACAAAAAAATATGATGCTCCTTGAGAAGATGTAAGAATATGTCGAAACATCTAAACAATTAAATGACATCAGTAAATTGTATACTGAATTAATACTGATTTCTACTTTCTTTAACCCATCTATTCCATCATGTAAAGACGAAAATAGAGATATTTTACATGAAATTCCTGTAGTCCTAAGTAGGTGACAAAGATATATTGTGCAACTGCTAAACCCAGTTGCTAGCTAATGTACAGAAGATCAAATTGAAAAAGTCTTCACAACAGATGTGAACGTAAATGAACCGTCAGAAGAAGAAGTTAGTGCACATATAAAGAAGCTTAGGAATAACAAAGCAGGTAGAGCTGATGAGATCAGAACTGAAGATAAAGTGCGGAAGAAGACAGCATGTTAAAAGTTTACATAGGCTCATCAGGGATATTTGGCAGCAGGAAACTATGCTGATAGATTAGTATAAAGGTATTAGTATACCGATACACAGAAAATGGAGTGAACTAAAAGGCAGTTACTATATAGGCATCACCCTGTTAAGCGTAGCATACAAGGTAAATGGATTAATTGTTAATACGCGTCTTCAGGTCTTCGACAACTATCAAGCAGGATCAACAACTGACCAAATTTTCGCCATTAGGCAATATATTGTTAAGTTAAAGGAATACAGCGGAGATATATACCAGCTTTTGATCGATTTCAAACAAGCCTTTAACTCAATAGACAGAGATGCACTGTGGCAAATATTAGGGTATTTCCATATACCGCAAGCGGAATCAACAAATAACCAAATTTTCGCCATCAGGCAATATATTGAAAATTCAAAGAAACACAGCAGAGATTTATACCAGCTTTTCATCGATTTCAAACAAACATTTAACTCAACAGACAGAGAGGCACTGTTACAAATATAAGGGTATTTCCATATACCGCACAAACTTATAACCTTAACCGAGATGGCAATAATAAGTAGTACATCATGTGTCAAGATAAATGGTCAGCTATTTGAGAACTGTTTAATACGGTCAGGCGCATACATTAAGAAGATGTACAAGCGCCAACCTTGTTCAACTTGGCGCTTGAATATGTAGCGGGAAAAACAAATGTTGCAACTTTGGGTTCGATATAAAACAAAAACACGCAAATTTATGCTTTTGCTAATGATATATACATAAGCATGAAACATACCAACACTAAGCGAAAGCTACAGCACCGCTAAAGCGGTGGGCTTAAAAATAAATAAAGAAAACACGAAATACTTAAGTAATCGTCAATCCGCAAATCACCTTATTTAAATAGGTGACAACACTTTCAAACAAGTTGAATCCTTCAAATGTTTAGATCAGTAATATTCTTTCATTTATAAAAATGATGATGGTCTAAATAAAACACTACATTCAAATATGATTAGTAAAAAGTCAAAATTACTATGACAAAATATGATGAAAAGGTAGATATCTTCAAACGCAAGATTATACGTCGCATACTTGGTCCAATTAGAGAAGGGGACGGCACCTATTGGCTGAGATTTAATGACGAATGTCAGTAAAAAGAGAGCTATGAGAACCAGCAATAAGAAAGAGAGTAAAACTAAAGCAATTACAACGGGCTGGAATATGTCAAATCCATATGTAACCCAACAAAAAAAAAAAATTCAATATGCTCCAGAAGGAAGAAGGAAAAGAAGGCGCCCGATTTTATGCTGGATAGATAATGTGGAACAAATAGCGCAACAACTTGGTAGAAGAAACTGGAGAATGATAGCAAACGACAGATATACGTGTAGGAGTTTTCAAAGGAAGGCCAAAACTCAACTAGGATCGTTGCGCCACTAATGATGATGATGAATTTAAGATATTTTTCTCTATAATAATTTAATGAAATCTTGTGTTTTTTCGTACCTAATTTGGTTTATATACTTAAAAATTATAATTATTTATAAGTTCACGTTTTATCAAATTTAACTACTGTTGTGGAAAACATTTTTTATATATACTTGCTAAACAAATTTTAAACTTCAGAACAAGAAATTAGACTATTCCTCAATTCTATTCGCGGAGTCGATGATAAAACAATTTTTTTTTCTACAATCGTTCTATTATAATTTTTAATGTATCAAAAGCAAAGAATCTAATAAAGTGTAAATGGGGCAGATACAGACAGAAATTATAACTACAAACCTTAATAAATAATTTAGTCAAGTTAATGTTATGGCTGACCTACAGCACTTTCATATATTGCCAAATATTCATCATCATTATCAATAGTGTTTGGAAATATTTGTTTTGTTTGTCCGTACGCAAAATGTAAGTGTTAAAAATCAAAGTATGTCAATTTTAAAATGTAGACTCACTAACGCAAATATGTTAGGCCAGTGATTATACAGTCTTTACATTTATTACGACATCGTCTCTTACTGAGTAATAAAATCTATAATCTTCCTTTCTCGTATAATAATAATCAACAATTTTTTCGCAATCCAAGTACATAAACAACAAATATAAAAAACAATATGTTTATACACATATGCATTCTTTATCAACTATTGAATAATATAAATCCGAAAAAATCTAAGTTTAATTAGTTTTAAATAGTAAATTAAATTTTATTCAGTTCGTTTTTTTCGTTCAAACTTAGGTGTTTTGTTTGATACATTGCATTCTGATGAGGACGATCAACCATGGAACGTAACCATACATTTTTCTAAATGTCCTAATGATACTTTAGTTAAACTATCAACTAGGTAAGTAAAAGTAAATTTAATTAAAAATATGATAGATATAAAAATTTTTAATAGAGATGAATTAGAAGCGCATTTTATGTCGTGTCTAAAAGAAGCTGATGTTCTTAAACATCGCGGTCAAATAATTTCTACGATGCAAAAAAAAGATCATAATCAACTTTGGCTTGGACTAACTAATGACAAATTTGATCAATTTTGGGCAATAAATAGAAGACTTATGGAAGCTAACAGTGAACAGGAAACATTTAAACATGTTCCAATACGATTTTACGAAAAGGTATGTATAAATTTGAATGTTAGTTTTATGTAACTTTTTTAAAGTGGATATAACCATTTTTTTGTTCTATAAGTAAATTACAATGTTGCTATTTTATTGTCTAGATTCAAAATTACTGTTTTTAATTTCTGCTCTTTAAAAGTTTTGTGAGCATATTGCAAAAAAATAGACGCTTGTTTTAAGTGTGACTAATAAATTAACAAAATTAGACATTATTTTTTGTAAGTGTAAGCAAAAAATTTTGTTTGCATTTGCATTGTTTGTGTTTTTAAATAAAGATATTGTATATAAATTTATTGATGCATTTTTAATATTAATATTAATAATTTAATATTAGGTATTACGCAGATATCTTTTATTGCGGACAGTTAATTCGTGTTTATTTTATTGGTATTAAAAGGCAAATAAATAAATATTTGCAATTTTTTTTATATAATACAGTTTTTAAGTATTTCTATATTTCATACACAACATTATTCTGTAGGAATATATAGTTTTTATTATAACAAAACATATCAGTTAATATGATAATTTTTCACAAGTCAATATGAAAAACGATTTTTAAAGAAAAATTTTACCTCATGTCATTTTATTATCTAAATATGTCTTTGACAAACCATGATCGATTAAAAACAAAAACATTTTTAGATTTACAAAGTAAAAAATTTTATTGAGGGGATTCAAGTGGATGGCGACGCAAAGTGCATCTTTTTTTGTAATTTTTATGTGAAAGGGTTCGTCATTTCCATAAAATACAAGGTTGATTAAAAGAAGGAAAAGTTAACAATGATTTTTCATTAAAAAATACGAAATAATAAAATTATGTAAAATGTGATTCATATAATATATTATTAATTCAACAATTAAATATAATTGGTTACTTTGTCAATTTGAAAATCTCATTTTTTCTATCAATTATTGGCTTGTCAAAGAACTTACTTAGGTAATAAAATGAAGCAACATTTTTTTTTGAAAAGCTTGTAAAAAATAATACTATACAAAACTTCGGTTTAGCGTCAGTTTCTACACCAACGGCAAGAAATCACCCTTCATTTCTCATTAGTTTTCACATCAGCGAGTTGTAGAAATCTCGAGTGGATATAGTAAGATTTTCTTCAAAGTAAGGTTGTTATCCATGTAGACATCACAAGCACGTATTCTGTTGTCTTGTTCGTGTTTTTAGAGTTTTTATATATAATGATCTTGCAAAATCAATTCCAGTCCTCTTGATGGTCTTGTTGTTGTAATTTGTTCAATTGGCAAAACAGACCATTGTTCATTAGCGCTTTTACCTTTGACCTTTTTACATACCATGCATTGACCTACTATATTTTTGATTAGTTGACGACGTTGTATTACCCAGTATATCTTTCGTATGTATGCTCGTACTACATTTACATCTCCATACAGAGTTGTTGTATGGGCCCTAATTATTGCCAACCTGCTGAGACGAGAAAGATTAGGCAAGACAGCTGGTTTGTATTTTCTTGATGTTGCTATATTTGTTTATTACGTCAAATGATTCACTTTGATTAGCAATGTTTTCATTCAGGTTCGATAATATTAATAAAATATCATTCAGTTTTTTGTTGCTTACAGAATTTATATCCTTTGCCGATAATCAATTTGGACCATTTTTCCATAAATTATTTTTAAACAAATTTTTGGCCGTACAACCTCTAGTTAAAATTAGCTGGATTGCTTTTACCATTGCTCTAACTTTGGGAGCGAAAGTTCATCATTACCGCTTTTTGTAATTGGACTTACTCTGATTTTTGAACAAATAAATTTGTTTGAAACAATCCCATCTGCCACTGTTGTCAAATATGCCACATCTCCATATGCCTTTGGGCTTGCATCAGCAAATATATGGATCTCAATAAAACTTTTCTCAGCGTGACAACAAAGAATGAGAAATTTTAAATTGTCTTAATATTTTAAGTTCGTGCTCCAAATTCGCAACACAGTTCGTCATTAGAAGACGCGTCCTATGCATATTTCCCTTTCCAAATGCTTTGAAGTAAAATTTTGAGTCACACTGTAAAGGATGCTATTAATCCCAATGGATCGTATATTCTTGCCATAGCCTTCATCACGATTCTTTTTGTTGGTTTTAATATGGCAATGGTTTCAACGGCTTTTTTCTCAGATCAACTCTAAAATCATCTTCAAGAATATACCAATTAATACCCAAAACTTTTTGAATCGGTACTTGATCGCTTGCACAACATTTTCTTATATCTATGCAGTTTGAATTCCACTTTCTCAATTGCTCATAATTTGCTTTGATTCAAAATAAATTTTCTTGGTTTCTTCAACTTCATGGCAACCAAATCATCTACATAAAATGATTTTAATATGTTTCTGAATAACTGCGGATAGCAAAAAAGAACTAGAGGTAACTCCAAATGTTACTCTAGTCATTCGCATTTCCATAATATTTGGTAGTTATGCATGTATATTTGGCATTTTGTCATACCATAAAAATCTATGTATATCACCAAATCCTAAAATTTTAAACTTTTCATGACCGATTACAGGCAAATTAAAAGTGTTGACAAACTTTTCAGTTATATATGTTCGTTGACTGTTATTGTCCATAATATAACGCGACAAAACTTCTTTATTATTGTTTTTGTTTAGAATAATTGCCTTTACTGTTTGCAAGAAAATTTGATTATCTTCTGCTTTCATAGCATTCAGCAATGATATCATATTCTTATTTTCAATTGCTTGTTTCACTATGTTGATTTCACTAAAACTCTCCTTCTCTTGATTTCTTCTCTTAAGTTCTTTCTTACACATTATTGTTAAATGTCTACCATTACATATTGCACACTTTAACTATTGATTTTTGCAGAATTTTGCATTGTAATTTTTTTTGTGCATCTAAACATCTACCTTCGTCTTTAAGAATCTTTTTTCTATGTTCAACGGACATATTTTTTTGCAATTTTTTAAAGCATGAGATTTTTGCAAAACACACATTTAATTTGATTTGCTTTAAAACTAGCATGCAAACCACCAGATGTATCTCTTGTATGTTCCGACATTATTTTTTCTTCGAATTTCTTATTTTTTCTTTCAGCTATTTGAGCTTTTCCTAATGCTTCAATATCAGTTTTTATATACTCCAAGAGATCTTCTAAATTATCGCAATCTTGCTCTTGGGCTAGCTCAAATTCGTTTAGTATTGTACGACTTGTATTGTATGAGTGTGAACTCCCTTTTTGAGTTTTATAGAAATTTATTCTCATGCTCACTGGTAAGGCTTTTAACAAGATGTAGTGCATCATGATGATGTACTGCGATGGTAAGAATTTTATTGTTGCTCTTATTTCGTTATATAGATTTCTTAAATTCTTAACGTCGCTTGCCTAATTGATGGCTCTTATGTTTAACAGCTTTTGTATTTACTTGTCCACAATTTTGACGCTATCACTGAACTCTTCTAAGAGTATATATATGGCGACGTTATAACAACGCCCTGACGACAATAATCCCGTTATCGCTTCCGCTGCTCTCCCTACCAGTGCGTCTCTTAAATAGTTACATTTTGAAGATTTGCCTACTTTGTAATTCGCTTGAATTGTTCCCAAAATGGAATCCAATTTTCCAAATTTTCATCTAATTTCTTAAGCACAAGAGGTTTTAATGTTATATTAGATTCACGGTTAACAATTATTTCATGGATTTTCGTTGCGCAGTACTTCTTCATTAAAATTATTATTTATCTTTTTAACTCAAACTCAATTTTCGCAATTACACTGACTGCTCGATCTTGAGCCGCTTTACTTTGCATAATTTCATTTGTTTTCAACAGTCTCTGATGCGCATTTCTTATGCGGCATAAATGAACGTTCAAAGTTGAATCATTTGATGCCAAGTCTGGCTTCTGCAGTATTTCCTGTTTCAAATATGGGTCTACTGTGTTACATAACATATTCTCGTTAACTACGTTCTACATAATGCTCTGCTAACTGCCTTCAAAATTGGTATTTAAGTACACTCTTATATTTTTAGAAATCGAACGCTTTTTCTTAACCACTTTTTTTTTAAACTTGCAGACAGGTAGAATTTTCGTTGAAAAAAAAAATCTTTAGAATTCAACCGTCACGGGTTTTGGTACCATGTAAAAAATAATACTAAATAAAACTCCGGTTTAGCGTCAGTTTTTTTATGAAATCAGTTTATTAACGACTAAATCATATAATGAATAAGTACAAATTATAGAGAGAGACACCAACGGCAAGAAACAACCATTCATTTCTCTTTAGCTTTCACCTAACTATTTGTTCTTATATTTACTTTTCCTATCTAAATTTTATAATAACTTAAGAAAAATTACAATATTAACTGATTTTTGTTACAATAAAAACTATATATTTCTACGCGATTATCTAAATGTTATATATGATGGTTTGGTTTGCTTTCGAACTTTCTAGTGAGCGGACGTGTTTTTAAGCCGGTCTCGGAAAAATTTAAATTTCAGTATAAAAACAAGTAAATAATAATCACTTTTAAAAGAATTACTTTTCTTATTAATACAAAAATAAAAAACAGAAAATTCTCGGACAAAAAAACAATTCCTAAAAGTTAAAAGTGCATAAAATATTATTTGAAAATAAGCGGCGCTTTTTCGATTTTTTGATTTTTGCCACTTTAAAAAAAAAAAAAAAAACTCAAATAGCTGACAGGACGCAAATTATTTTCTAAAGCTCAAAATAAAAAATAAAATGTGAGCAAGCATTCAAACAAAATATCAGTGCGGTTTAGGTATATAAACAAAACAAAAATGGGATAAGACAGCTAGTATTTTATTACAAACGTGTTCAAAACTGTAACTGAAGTCGCAATTCATCACAACACACAACCACCAATATCAAACACAAAAACATCAAAAACACACTTGCTAACGTGGATTTTGGAATTTAAAGATATTTATTCTTAGTATTATTATTATTCTTAGTATTATTATTATTCTTAGTATTATTATTATTATTCTTTTTTTCTCTTTTTGTTTTTATTTATATGTTTAATTATTAAAATATAA